ATAAGACTTTAGGTTTTTCCTCTTTGAAAACATAAATTCACTACATGCAGGTGTGAACATTTTTTGAAATTAGATATGTGGGAATAAGGGCTTCCCTGGTGGCTCAGATAATATAGAATCTGCCTGCAATGCAGGAAACCCAGGTCCAATCCCTGGGTCAAGAAGATCCCCTGGAGAAGGGAATGGCTACCCACTCCAGTATTCTTGCCTGGAGAATTCCATGGACAGAGGAACCTGGTGGGCCACAGTCCATGGGATCACAAAGAATCAGACACAACTGAGCAACTAACACACACACACACACACACACACACACACACACGGGGTAATAAAGATGTCCACGGACACTCACTACTCAAAGGAAGAAGCTATACCAGACATTTGTGATTGGTTCATGGCATTCACTCCTAATGCTAATTTCACTAGAAATCCATTTAGTTCTAGGGAGATATACTTTACGGTTCAGGAATGGAACACATGCCCTGGCTAAGCCAATCAGTGCATTTCATCCATGGGACTTCAGTGATTGGTCTAAGTATGTATCCTAAGCCAGTTCAGAATTCACCATAGGACACAGGTTATTTATCTTTCTCTAGACTGGAACTGCTGGTCTAATTTTGCCCATGAAAAGAGACATCCTGAGACTGGAACTGACATACAGAAGAGGGAAAATCTTAATGAATCACAGACACTGAGCCTGAGCCCCCATCAAACCAAGCCTGAAGCCTATCTAACTTCTGGATTAGTTTAGTTATATGAATCAATAATACTTGGCAACTGTTTAAACATATTTAAAAGGAGTTTCTTGTTACACTCAGAAAAGCATTCTGTTATAAAAAACAAATAAATTTGCATCTGGCAGTAGGTGTCAGTGTAAGCTGGAATAAAAAAAATGCTTGTTCATTTCATTTTTGAATAACTGATTACAATTAACTTTTTCCACAGCTTCAATTTATAGTTGATTCCCTTTTTAACTTCCTTCAATAGAAATATACTAGCCTCAAGGAGTTCCTTCCATAAAAATCAATCATGTTTACATACATTTCATATTCTACTAGTCAGAAAAATTTACCTGGCAGAATTGGTGGATTCTCAGGGACATTTAAGTTTTCATTAAATTAGTCTGAATCAATCATACCTCCTTCCCTTCCAGGTCCTGAACCAACTAAAAAATATACACAGGAATCAAAGGGGGGTTAAAATAACAGCTTTAATATATTAAAAAAGCAAAATTCATAACAGCATGTATAGTATGCCACAATTTGTATAAAAATTGATATACATATATATAATATACTTGTAAGTACATGGATTATCTCTGGAAAAATACATAGTAACTGGTAAGAGTGTTTATCTTTGGAAAGTGGGACTGAAGTCAAGGATGTAAAAAAAAAGAGACTTACTTTATACTGTATATCCTTTTGAACTGTTTGATTTTTACCAGAGGCATGCATTTTTGTGCAAAATGATTTACATATTAAAATTTTTTTAAGAATAAAAATAGATATCGGCTTTATTGCTGATAGAGCTGGACTGGAGGACATGTTTTGGACCTAAGCCTGAAATGAACTTCTACCTCAAGTGTAAAGACAATTGATCCCCCACCCCAGAGGGTGAGAGAGGTCTGCAGATTAGAGGTTTACCCAGTCATGTAGTGACAGACTATCTGCTTTCCCATATCTTTCTGTGAGAAATGAACTCAAGAGCCAACACGGCCTTAAGTTACATATCCATAATAACCCTTTTCTCATGTTTCACCAAGTTGTTTCTCCTCCCACTTGGGACACTGAATGAGTCACTAGTAGAGATAGGTAGAAATTTTCTTCCAAATGTTTTTGAGAGGCATAATGCTTTTTTCTTGTTTAGGAACATGGAGAGAGGCAGAGGATAAGTCCTATCATACCTTTGGACATTTCTGTCCATATTACCAACACCCAAGACAAACAGGGCTTGACTGCCCCTTTGGGGGGATACCAATAGGATCTTAGAAATGTCCTGCTCCCACCTGTGTAAGACTGGTGAGCAATTCTACTTTTGCTGCGGAAGGCACTGAAATAAGTCAGAATAGAACAGTAATTAAACTAATTCTAAAGCTACATACATCCCTGGCTGAAAATTCACTACTTTATTCTCAATTTATAATTGTGTCCAACCACATTATCTGACACAGATTATAAAGATTATATAATAAGCCCCAAAGATAGCATTAAAATACTCCAAATAACACAATGTCAACAACATAATGAAAATGCCTTAATTTGAACTGTATGAAAGCCATATCAGTTATTAAACTCCAAAGGAAAAATGAATGCCCCAAATGAAATTTCTTTTTTTCTTTTTTTATTTTTTTATTTTTATTTTTTTTTCCCTCATAAAACAGATTTATTTTTATATTTCTATAAATATCAGCTGGACGATCAACACAGACGGGGAGCAATCTCGATGGTGTTTATCCGGAGGATGGTCTGCGGGTTCACGATGATTCTCTTCCTTTTATGGTTTTTCCTTTTCTGAAATCTCATGTTGACTATCTCCTTTTATTGTAATAGTTGGCAAAGAGAAAGTAGAAGCTTTAAAGAAATTTAGTATCCTTTGGTTGTTTTCACAAACTGGATCAACATTATTGGCTTAATCCTTGATTGGTGGAAATCAAATCAGAAGGAAAATCATAAAACATTGTTTAGAAAGCTAATATAATATATATATTTTAAAAATTATTTATTTTTAATTGGAGGATAATTGCTTTACCATATTGTGTTGGTTTCTGCCATGTATCAACTTGACTCAGCCAGAGTCACCCACAGGGGACATACCCACCCTACAGGGACATGTCCATGTCCCCTGCCTCTTTTTTTTTTTTTAATTTTTAGGCTGAGTAATGTTCACAGCACTGTTTATAATAGCCAGGAAGTTTCTTTTTTTAAAATCCAAAAGAATTAAAGTCCAAAATTCTGCCTTCCCAAATTTCTTGTTTTTCTGATGTCAATCATACAGATCTCACAAAGATGTCTTGACAGATAATAGGGTTCCTTCAGCATCTGTAGCCTGGACTGTCTTCCTCTTGATTTGGTTTAGTTCCTTTGGAACCTCAGGAGTTGAATTAATCTAACCCCACAATTGCATGTGTAGATATATATATATATATATATATATATATATATCACATCAAGAGTCCTCAGGGTCAACAGGGCATAAGATTATTACAGTACCAGCTTCACATCTCCAAAATTAGGAGGCACACTAACCCTCAGCCTCTAAAACAGATACTCAAACACATTTATGTCTCTGGGACTTAGTACATAGAGTAATACAGACCCACATTGCAGTTGTCATCAAAAATATCTAAGGAGAGACTTAGTGACAGCAAAAGGAAGGAAAGTAGACAGAGAATACATGGGAGAAGAGAGTATCTTCCTGGTTTCATCCTCAGCAGGATGTGGTCTCTCTGTGCCGGTAGTCTTGACTCTATGACCTGTGAACTTTAATTTGGAAGATACTACCCAAGTGGTTGATTGTACCATCATGAGTCCCAACGCCACATCTGCAGAAGTCCATGGCCTGGTTTTTAGTGCTAATGGAGCTTCTCTTAGAAACCCAGTGAGAACACATTGGTATTGACCGGATGCTTCTCTCCAAAACTTGGCTTATTTTTCAACCTTTCCCAAAGTTGACTTTCCCTAATGCCTTTAATAATGGAAGATATTACTTATTTTTCTGCTGAAATAGGGTTCACCCTTAGCTGCATATGAGTTTCTTAGGCCCAGCCAAAAAAACAGGATAAAGCTGAAAAAACTTAACAAATATCTATTAGATTTCTATCTACTAATGCCAGCATTTAAAACATTAAAGCACTTAGAACATCACTGTCTTTTGATCATCTAGCATGTGTTTCATAGTCCTACTAGGGCACCATAATAAATGAGCTCACCAATTCCTACAAGGAAGCAAAGTCTATTTTCAGTCTTTTTAGTTCTAGCAAGTGCCTTTCCCACCTTATATGCTGGGACTCAGAAGTCTTCTAATAATCTAATGAAAATGTAATCTAAACATTTTCAAAGCATCCCTTCTAGCATAGGAAAGAAACCTGTATCTCAGGCTGATTCCAGATTTTTGCTCCTTTATTTTGAGGTCCTGAAGAGATCTACCAACCATGCTAAACCTAGCCTTTACCCTGTGACTGTGAACTCTAGCTAGAGCCTGGCCTAATGCTCCCTAGGTCTGGCAAAGCCCAATTGTGTTAAATTCTGTCTGCACAGACTATGTCTGTAAAAACCCACTTCATATCTGTAGGTACAAGCCAGAGCTATTGTAGACAACAGAAATCCTAATGCCATTAATGACTAACCATGATTTCTCTACTTGCATTTGGTTCATAAATGCTTACCCCTTAACAATTTTGTAAGATTTCTCAGCCTATGCACTGAAATACAAATAACTGCCCTCTTGATTTTGAACCAAGTTGAACAAGAAGTGCAAGAATAAGACTTTCAATACAGTTGGAATTTAAAACGCAACTTGGATGGAAGACCAACATGAGCCTCTCACTCCTTTCCCAAATTAGACATTTGAAGTCACCTAAGGGGAGGGTTGAAGTTACCAAGATACTTAGCCAGCCATATTGAATATCTCAGGAAATTTCACACTTCAGTGAAGATTGTCTAAATGCCCAAAAGAATGAGGCAAGAAGTGTTCAGTTACCTTTAGTCTATTAACACCACCCAAGGTAAAAACATGGGCCAATGAATGTCAGACTTTGCACTTCTCACTAATTAGATAAGTCAATCATTCTACTGTTGGGAGGAACACATAAAAAGGTTAGAGATAAAGGCAGAAGGATTCTTCAAAACATGTCTGAGAGGGTGGAAGTTTTAATTTTTTACCAGGCAAAAGTGTGAAAAAGAAGAGAAGATGGTTCTTACAAATTGTAAAGCAATCAAGACTTTTTGTGTGTTTAGATTTTACAAGCAGTTGCACATATTTGGCAAATTTCAAAATGACCTCTAAGATGTTTTTACCAAATCATAGACATAGATATGGAAATCATCATCAAATTTGATGAAGTACACAGAGGGTTTTGCTTCCACCTGATGAATGACCATGCCAGTTCTCTTGGAGCCATCCTCCTTGGCATATTCCACTTGTTTGCCTACTAGGCTGTCTATGACTTCTCCTGGCTCCCTCTCTGTGAGAGAAGAATCATTGGAATCTGGAAGGATGTGTAGGTCACCATCTTTATAATCATCTAAAAGCTGGTACATATATAATACAGGATCTTTCTCATAGGTAATGTAAAACCACGTATTCATGACAGGTGCCTGAGCCAAGACCATCCCCCTCCATTCATTTTTGGAACCTTCCTCTGTCTCAAAAATATGTTCCACTGCTTTGCCAATCATAATTTCTGTTAAGTGTGTATCACTGATTCTAGATGAGGCAACTCTATTAGGAAGGACTTGAAGTGATGACACTCTTTCATCTCTGTGAAGTTCCAATCCATAAACACAGTCAAATCCATTATATTTGATAAGATACAAAGAGGGATTTACAGGTACCTGATCCAGAACGGTTCCCTTCCACTCAGAGGTTCATCTCCGTCTTTCCATCCATGCCGAATTCTGCAGCCCACGATATTCCTTGGAGGCTGGGAGATGGGTCTGCTCCTATGCTTCTTGTATGCAGCTTTTCTCTTCATCATGGTAACAGACGCACTGCCATGCCCTGAGCCTGTCCTGGACCGCTGCCCAAAAGCCGTTTTTGCTAGCGGGGTCTTCATGCCTGTGCGGAGCACAGTAACAAAGCGGCCCAATAAAGGAAATCAAGACGAAATAAATTCAATGCATGACACAGTGAACTTTATCTCTTAAAGAGTGCACTCCATACACACACGCCCAGATGCCCGTTTTCCTCTAAAGCTAGGCAGAAAAGCTGGAAATCCCCTGCACCCTGCGTTTAAGCAGTAACCTTCCTCCCTAGCTAGTTCCGGCTATGCTAGCGCTATGGAGTTCTGGTTGTGGTCAGAGAAATAGAGGGCACCCCCTTATTCCTCCCGCCCTGCGTCCAACACTGTCCAGGCCAGAGGGCAGAGACTAGACTCCCCCAAGCTGGAGATAGCGGGCCTCGCGTGCCCAAATCCGACACTTCACTGCTGCCTCCGCCAGGAGGCTGTGTCGAAGGAGGAGGACCAGCAGACGACGAGTTAGGTGCTTGCAAGAGCTGGGAGGGAGGATCTTTAGGCAAGGAGCGTGTCAAGTGGGCTGCTGGATAGGCGGACAGGATGGCGGCAATGTCTCCGTAACTCTGCTTGGGCGGGGGCAGGGGGCGGGCTCCGCTCCCTCTCGGTGGCAGCGGCGGCCCCTCTGCCACATCGGACTCCCACCAGTCACTGTAGTCGCCAGTCTCCTCCCTCTTTTCCTTAGAGCTCAACTTCCTGCCAGGAGAGAGGCCTACCCCTCCTGTCCAGCACCTTGCTTTCCCCTACCCCCAACTCTCCATCCACCACTGCCTTAGGGCCTGCGAGCAGTTCTTTGGTTCCTTGCCCAGCCCCTTTCCAAAATCTGGACCGGCCTGACCAACAAATCCCCTCTCCAACCGCCTAGCACCGCTTCTTCAGTTCTGGGCTCCCAGATTCCCAACATCCATCTGTAACTCCATCTCTGTACTCCTGCCCCATCTGCTTTCCATCCTCCAGGAGTTTGCCCTTTCCTTTCCCCCTGCCATTCTGGAGTTACTCTTTATATAAGGAAATCTGCCTTTCCTGTCATTTAAGGGAGTTTGAGGTTGGAGGAGAGTCTCAGTGCTCAGTCATCCATCTTGACTCAGTATCTCGGTTATTTTTACTGACTGGTCATTACTGGATTTATTGAGGATGATATTTCTTTCTTTTTCACCGATTACAGAGAAATTGTATGGAAAGCATGGGCATGGTATACAACCTAGCAAATTGACAGGAAGAAATTAATCAACTATAAATCCACCTCGTATGCACCAGGGCTTACAGCAAAATATTAACACTTTCCATTGTCTTTATCAAATAAATTCTTACAAACCTGGGATACTTTTGCATATGCTTTTTCATGGCATGTCCTTTTCCATGTAAAATGAGTATTTAATGAGTTTACTAGATATTGTCTGAAATGTTTTGTAGTGGCTTCAATAAAATTAGCATAAGGATATTTTCACAGTTTAACCATTCCCTCCTACCTTCAGATGTTTAGTTTTAAAAAGTACTTATAAAATTATACTTGCATGCAAATGATTATTCTCTTGAACAGAATAATAAAAACACAAACTTACAATCAAAACACTTATTACAATTATAGCAAGAAGTTAGTATTTCAACACTTTTACATCTTAAGCCTATAAAGAAAGACTTATTCAAGCAGTGTTCAACCATTTTTGTTTTCATTACAGCCATGGTAGTGGGTGTGAAGTAGTATTTCACTGTTGTTTAATTTGCATTTCCCTAAGGACTAATGTTCAAATGACCACACAATTGCACTCATTTCACATACTAGCAAGGTCATACTCAAAATCCTCCAAGCTAGGCTTCAACAGTACATGAACCAAGAACTTCCAGATGTACAAGCTGGATTTAGAAAATGCAGAGAAACCAGAGATCAAATTGCGAATATTCACTGGATCATAGAAATAGCAAGAGAATTCCAGAAAATATATCTGCTTCATTGACTATGCTAAAGCCTTTGACTCTATGGATCACAACAAACTGGAAAATTCTTCAAGAGATGAGAATACCAGACCATCTTAACTGCCTCCTGAGAAACCTGTATACAGGTCAAGAAGCAACAGTTAGAACCAGACATGGAACAACAGACTGGTTCCAAATCGGGAAAGGAGTACATCAAGGCTATATATTGTCACCCTGCTTATTTAACTTATATGCAGAGTACATCATGAGAAATGCCAGGCTGGATGAAGCACAAGCTGGAATCAAGATTGCCAGGAGAATTATCCTTCAATTAAAAACTTGAGTTATTTAGAAAAGCATAATATTCTCTAGGTCCATCCTAGTGGCTGCAAGTGACAGAATTTCATTCTTTTTATGGCTGAGTAATATTCCATTGCACAAATTACAGAAGACCTAAATGGACATTTCTCTAAAGAAGACATACAGATCACAAAGAGGCACATGAAAAGATGCTCAAAATCACTAATTATCAGACAAATGTAAATCAAACTGAAATAATACATTACCTCATGTCAATCAGAAGGGCCATTATGAAAAAGTTTACAAACAATAAATGCTGGAGAGTGTGTGGAGAAAATGGAACCCTCCTGCACCATTAGTGGATTGTAAATTGGTACAGCCATTATGGAGAACAGTATGGAGGTTTCTTAAAAATCTAAAAATGGAACTGCTATTCTTGCACAAAACATATTTTCTTGAGTATAATTACATCTATTTTCATCAGAGATATTGCCATGTAATTTTTTTGGTGGCATCTTTTCCTGGTTATATTATCAAGGGAATTCTGGCCCATACAATGAATTTGGAAGCATTCCTTCTCTTCAATTTTTAAAAGCATATTAAGAAGGATAAGCATCATTAACAAACTGAAAGATGAAGACCATATGATCATCTCAATAGACACAGAGAAATTCGACACCCATTTATGATAAAAAAAAAACCTCCAGAAAATTGGCATAGAAGGAACCTACCTCAACATAATAAAGGTCATATACAACAAACCCACAGGAAACATTCCTAACAGTGAAAAACTGAAAGCATTTCCTCTAAGATCAGGAACAAGACAAGTGTGCCACTCTTGCCACTATTATTCAGCATAGCTATGGAAGTCTTAGCCAAGGTAATCAGAGGAGAAAAAATAACAAAAGGAATCCATACTGGAAAAGAAGAAGTAAGTCTCTCACTCTTTGCAAATTACATTATACTATACATTGTTGTTGGCTATATATTGTTGTTGTTCAGTCACTCAGTCATGTCCAACTCTTTGTGACCCCATGGACTGCAACATGACAGGTTTCCCTGTCCTTCCTTATCCCCCAGAGACTGCCCAACCTCATGTCCATTGAGTCAATGAAGTCATCCAACCATCTCACCCTCTGTCACTCCCATCTCCTCCTGCCCTCAATCTTTCCCAGCTTCAGGGTCTTTTCCAATGAGTTGGCTCGTCACATCAGGTGGCCAAAGTATTGGAGCTTCAGCTTCAGCATCAGTCCTTCCAATGAATATTCAGGACTGATTTCCTTTAGGATTGACTGGTTTGATCTCCTTGCAGTCAAAGGAACTCTTGAGAGTCTTCTCCAACACCACAGTTCAAAAGCTTCTATTCTTTGGCGCCCAGTGGTGTCTCTACTTTTTATTATTTTATCTAGGTTTGTCATAGTTTTTTTCTTCCCAGGAGCAAGCATTCTTTAATTTCATGGCTGTAGTCACTGTCCACAGTGATTATGGAGCCCAAGAAAATAAAGCCTATCACTGTTTCCATTTTCCCCCCATCTATTTGCCATGAAGGTATGGTACTGGGTGCCATGATCTTAGTAACTTGAATTTTGAGTTTTAAGCCAGTTTTTTTTTTCTCTCTTCTCTTTCAGTTTCATCAAGAGGCTCTTTAGTTCCTCTTCACTTTCTTCCTTTAGAGTGGTGTCATCTGCATATCTGAGGTTATCTCCCAGTAATGTTGATTCCTGCTTTTGAGTTATCCAGCCCAACATTTCACATGATATACTCTGCATATCAGTTAAATAAGCAAGGTGACAATATACAGCCTTTATATACTCCTTTCCTAATTTTGAACCAGTTCTATGTCCAGTTCTATTGTTGCTTCTTGACCTGCATACAGGATTCTCAGGAGGCAGGAAAGGTGGTCTGGTATTCCCATCCCCTTAAGAACTTTCCATCATTTGTTGTGATCCACACAGTCAAAGGCTTTAGTGTAGGTTTTAGTGTAGTCAGTGAAGCATATGTAGATGTTTTAGATGCCACCAGAAATTACTAGGGATAATCAATGAACACAGTAATGTTTTAGGATACACAATTAATACATAAGAATCTCTTGTATTCCTACACTAACAATGAAAAATCAGAAAGATAAATTAAAGAAACAATCCTTTTCAATATTGGAGCAAAAAGAAAAACATACAAAGAAATAAAGCTACCTAAAGAGACAAAAGGCACGTATGCAGAAACTATAAGACACTGATGAAAGAAATCAAATATGATAAAGACAGATGGAAAGATATATGATATTCTTGGATTGGAAAAATCAATATTGTCATATGACTATATTGTGAAAAGGAGTCTACAAATTCAATGCAATCTCTATCAAACTATCAATGATAGTTTTTTACAGAACTGGAACAAAATATTTCACAATTTGTATGGAAACACAAAAGACCCTGAAGATTCAAAGCAATCTTGAGATAGAAGAATGGAGCTGGAAGAATCAACTTTTCTGACTTCAGGCTATACTACAAAGTTCCAGTCATCAAGAGAGTATGGCACTGGCACAAAAACAGAAATACAGATCAGTGAAATATGATAGAAAGCCCAGAGATAAACCCACACATCTATGGGTACCTTTGACAAAGAAGCCAAGAATATACAATGGAGAAAAAAACAGTCTCTTTAATAAGTGACACTGGAAAAATGGGGCACCTACATGTAGAAAAATAGAGTAGAGTGTTTTTTAACATCACATACAAAAATAAACTCAAAATGTGATTAAAAAAAACTTAAATGTAAGGCCATGAACTATAAAAGTCTTAGAGGATAAAATAGAGAGTACATTCTTT